GGCTCTTGCGACACCGTTGAGGTCGGCTGGTCGACAACTTGAGACGCGATGGAAAGCGCTTCACCCAACAGTCTTTCTAGGTCACTCACGGCGCGTTGGAAGCCAATGCGGTCGAATCCACCAGACGGCTTCTCAGAAGAGACGGTTGCCATTGCGTGCAGTTTGGAAGGTAGGGGGGGAATCGGAGCGGATTCCAACTGTCCGTCTTGAACATCTGATGAAGTGTTGCTAATTCCCTCATAATGACTGCTCGGTTTTTTGGTGTACTGTAGCGCATAATTTTCTGGATACTTCAACACATCCTTCAGCCATTTCTTGGTGCGTCTGTGGTCGAATAGGCTGCGCGAAGCTTGATTGCTGTCGGATACCGAGCTGGAAGCAGGCAACGGAGCTGGTTTTGGCTCACCACGATTAATAGGACTAGCCTGCTCTCCTAGTGGTGGCCTTGGACTGCTGATGCCATGTGCTGGCCTCATCTTCGGAACTGAACTATGGCCATGATTACTGTGCTTATGTATGGACTCTAAGGGATCGAGAGATGGCCTCACTTTGGAACCTGGAATCGGAGAATAAAGGGCCATGGGCGCTGATGTATCATGTATAGGGTACTTGTTTGGCTTATGCGATGCTGGACCTCCATGTTCGCAGCGTGGCAAAGTGCGAGAGTCTAGGCGAGGGCGCTCTTGCCGGGCTCCGACAACAGTCTCAGCATCTGAACCATGATCGCACCCCTTTGGCGCAGTTCTTTGATGGATTGATGTGCGCTGCTGTTGGCTTTGCGCGAAATCTGACATGAGCTCGACAATGCGACTTTCGGATCCTTTGGCCGTCGACGAAGCATCACTAGTCTTGGATTTCACTGGATGGGCAGCACCGTCGGGAGTATGTGACTGTTGGTTGACCACTGGACGAGAGTCGCCTTTGAGCGAATCCGTCGGGCTAGAGGACCTGTCTCCGTAACCAATTGGGCTGACTGGTGGAAAGACAACAGATTCAGTGGCAGGGCCCGAAGAATAGTCCGCCTTTTGATATGCACCAGAAGTCTGAACGGCTAGAGCTGTCTGTACCTTGAGTTCAGAAAGTCGCTGGCCCGAGGTCCAATTGTCTCCAGTGGTGTGCGAAGGGCATGGTCGAGCTTTTGAGACCGGCACGTGTAGATAATCTCGACATGAGACAGTCGCCTTGTTGCGAGTCTGATTTGTTCCTGAAGACTCAAAAAAGGGCCTTACTTTGGGTGTGCCGAGGCATCTGTCCAAGAGATGAGAGTCATCAGAATTAGCATCGAGGCCAGTAGTCAGATTCGCGCCTGCAGACGTGGCTGAAGAATCTTCCGCATCTATCATGGTTGATGAGGGAGATAGTATGAAGTCATCTTGCTGATCTGAAGAACTATTCATGTCGCTGCTTGGGTCATAGGGAGCTGCCTTGTCGTAGGCTAGGCAATGGTACGGTTTCTAACTGTTTGCGTTTTCGCCGCCTCCATGCACCGAATGCCCACCTCCCACTGGCCGAGCCTTTGATGGACGGACAGTATAAGAGGATACATAGTGAAATCCTACTTGAGACACAGACTGCTGCGAGGCGCTGTCTGAGCGTTCCGTCAATGTCGTCGCTCGTGCAGGCATTTCGGGAGGATTCGTAAATTTCGCCGTTGGCAACGATGAGATGCAAGGCGACGCTCAATGCGAGTCAGCGGCTTCATTCTTAGGGTTAGCAAGAGACAGCACTTTCTCAACGGCATGGGTATAAGGATGACAATGCCTAATGCAAGATGTTTTGGAGCCACAACAGCTTCAAAGGGCATCAGCTCCACGCGAAGAAGTTAGCGGTCCGAGAAGCTTTTTTTCGTACCTTGAATGCGCAGTGTTCTTTTTGACTGAACGGCCACTCTGAATAAGAAGTGACTCAGAAACTAGTGCGAAGAGGACATCGCTTGGCACCCAACAGGCCTGAATCGCGTTGCATAACCAGCACGGTTCGATTGCTGCGTTATTCCGGTTGTCTGGCCAGGCTGTGTGTAGTTAAGGAACACTGAGGAGGATCTCCCGAGTGACAAACAGTTGCAGATGACAATGAAGACCGTGGCGGACAGGGACCGAGAACTAATAAGGCCGTATGGGAATAGGCAGAAGCGGCCCGTTCCAAGGACGAATAGAGTTGTACATGTAAGGAAAGGATGTTCAATGTCGTAACTCAAGGAAACGGACTAAGAAGCACACAAACCACGAGGGCCAAGGTTGATCTAAGTATAATTGATTGTAAAATGCTATTTGGTCTTATGGACCAGGAAAAGAGCTGTTGTGAAGGATGGTGAGGGCGGGATCGTGAACAAAGGAGTGCGATGTTGGCGGAGAGAGGAGTTGAAGCGAGGGTGAAGCATGTTTCTGCCACGGACGTGATCGGGTGTTGACAATGAGCCGAGAAAGGGCCAAGGGACCAGATTCATCGCGCTAACTACAGGAAGGAGCACCGAAGAACTCGACATGCCTTCCCTCACTCACATCAAGCCAAACCCACGCTTCGTTGAACGGCAATTGGTAGCCATCGCCTCGCCAGCTGAGGAAGAAGGAAGGTGATATCCGCTCTTCTTCTCTTGATGACTTGATGACAATGCGCGTCCCCCCAGCAAATTACTGTAGGTGCATACAAGCTGAAAACTCATCGCAGATCCGCAAGCGTTGGAAGTTGGGGGAGTCGGGAGTCAACTTTCAAGACAAAGTTGCAAACTTGGAAATGGTGGGGACTGCCGATTCCTGAACGTTTCCGATCCACCCCCGCTTTTCAAAGTCTGCCTGCTTCACTCTTGAATCTTAATGCAAGAAACAATGCACCAAGGATTCACAATACCTGGCATACATTAATAGAGAAATATCGATATCTTCGTATTCGCTCGCTCAAGTGTGACATCCAGTGTCACGAGACTGCCTAAAGTCATGCACATGTCAGACGATTCCCGACCGTCGCCCTATTCGACCAGCACAGACATGGCGGACTTTGGCTCTCCAAACTCGACGCTGGTGATATCATACTTGCGAGAACAGGAAACATTCTGTCTAAATTGTACCAAGAAAAATAAAGGACCAACCCGTGGTGCTGAGAAAAAGAAAAGATAAAAAAAATGACTACCCCTGAGAGAAAGTACATACAAAAAAAATAAGAACAAGAGCCAGCGAGCGTATCAAAGCATGAGTGAGATAGCCAATGTAAGAACAATGCAGCCTATCTCATCAGCAGACATGGACACGGAAGACAACAAACGCCACGACTCCCAATTGTCACGGGAGATACCGTGCCTTCAGCACGACCATCGGCGCTCATCGTGATCCCGAGCAAGACGCAACAACGATGAGCTGTAGCCTGTAATAAGCCTTCGCAGAAGGAGGACCTCTAACACTCATGACAGGCAAAAAAAAAAAAAAAAAAGAAGCGTGCTGCCAGCTTCTCACTCTTGAGAAACTCAGGAGCGCCGCCCCGTCACCAAGAACAAAAAGTTATCATCCCTAAGTTCTCCTAATTATTCTGCGAGGGGCCTTGCCCGATCCTGATCCCGGAGGATTATAGTATTGTTGTTGCGCATCGAGCCAGGCTTGTCGAGCAGCATGTGCATCGCATGCGTATCCGACAGTGATGATCCGTTCCTGGACAACATGACCAGATACGCCGTGAGATGCACATTGATCAAGTGCATGCTCGTAGTGGATGCAACCGCATGCCGGGAAAATCTCCGTCAGTTTATAGCACATGTTATTACGCGCAAGTTGAGAGTCTAGGAGACGTGCTGTTCGAAAATGGTCTATGTGAAGGTGAGTGCGAGTTCGCGGTGTCAAGGCCCGCGCCAAGAAAGCCCCTTGTTGGCGCCCGTTGTATTAGAATTTAGGAGCCGTCGTGGTCAAGGCGCAGAGTAAAGCAACGGAGATGCCTTGAAGATTTGCGCCTCCTCCTGTCGATGTCGATGTCGATGGCCTCGAGGCTCGCTAATCTCGCAGCAGGTGCTGGCTGCTAGCGTGATGAGGTATGAGCTGGACAAGAGAACCTGTCTGTTTGGTCGATGCAGGTAACGTGAGATGGACAAGTTACAACAGCAACAGCTTGGGTTGAATTGAGATGGCAAGAAGCGCAAGGTGGGGGTTGTAAGATGAATAGAGAGACGGTATAGCAGAAGACGTCGTACAAGTAACACTGTAGGCTTTTCATGGACGCAGAGAAACGAGCAATGGAGAAGGAGTGCATCGAGGCATCGCAACCTTATAGTAAATTGGAAATGACAGGCCGGAGGAAAGGAGGACAATCCAGGAAGCTGCAAAAGGCGAAAGGGAAGGCGAAATGCAAGGCCCAAGAGAACGCGAACAAAGCAAGCCGCAGACCCGAGCTCGCCTTGCCTGCGACCAAGCAGCTTCTTGCGCCGTCAGGGTATCTACATACATACAATCTATCGACACGCCCTCAAGACCTCGGCCGTGGAGTCGGACAAACAAACATTGGGGGAAGCCATCACCAATACGCCACCAGCCAAAGAGAAGGTAAGGCGAGGTTGTCGACCAGTACAACCTGGGATGACCGCAGACGACAAGCAGCTTCGACTATGTACCTAATCCTCGGAGCATAATCGCAGACGGTCAAAAAAAGGGATAGAAAGTATGATTCTCATGCACCCCGCGCCGCACATGAATGCAGTTGGGTCCAACCCAGGCACATGTTAGGCGCCCTGCCGTTGGCGCACTCCCTCTCTGGACGAAGCATTGTACCAGAACGGCAACCAGCAGGCTCTCTGTCATAATGTCATTATCGCGCTTTGGAGGAGTCACTGTGCAGAAGCCGGGGTTTCAACTTTCCAGGACGGAGAGCCTGTGTGTGATTGCGTTGATTGTGTGGTGTCCACTGTCACCGGTTGGATAGAAAGTCGTCTGATGGCCGTTTCAGCTTCCAAGTCAGGCATTAGGTACCTACTGGAAATGCAACGCAGTGGAAAAAAATAACCCAAAGTCAGAAGCAAGCTTCATCGACGCCGACCGGATTCGAACCGGTGCCCCCGAAGGGAAAAGATACCTGAGCACATGAAGTTCGAGTCTTTCGCGTTAGACCACTCCGCCACAGCGCCTTGCATAATAGTGGGGCTGGAATCAGGTGTCATAATGTCTCGTGAGTCGCGACTCGTGAGAGTCAGACAGGTCGAGTTCTGAGCTCTGCAGACTGTCATCTTGCCAGGCTCAAGATTTCTTCATGGCCATTGTGTGATGCTGATAGAATTGGGAAGAATTTGGAGACACTGTATCCATCATAATCCACATTGGACATACTGAAACAATAACAGCGATAGCTATGGCGACAATGAAGGAGGATACTCCGTCGGTGCATTCAACTAGGTACCTATGTACATATGTACATGGCTATGTACATACCTATGCATACGGAGTAAGCGTAACGGCCAAGGACTCGCCAATTTTCCGCCGTTAGCCTCGGCCCAGCCCGGAGAGGGACGACAGACTGCAACTCCCAGGGTAATAAGAAGACATGCAACCGCCCCCACTTTTCTTGGCCGCCCCCACTTCTTTTCGGAATTTCTGGCAAGATAATTGGTAAATCGTAAAATGCACCTATCGCCACCTGCTTCCACGTCCCATATCAAGACGCGGCATTTAATCCCATCAAGACGCATTTTAGGGGTTAGTTAGGAGTTAGGAGTTAGGGTTAGTGGTTAGTGGTTAGGGGATTAGGTGTTAGCTAATGGAATTTGCATTGGGACGTGTGTAAAAGAGGTAATCGGTAAATGTACCATCTAGATGGCGGACAGATGGACCTCTAGTTCGACTGGAAAATATGGGGCGACCAAGAAAAGTGGGGGGGGGGGCGGTTGCATGTCTTCTTATCCTGGGAGTTGCAGTCTATCTAACCCCTCCCTCAACCTCCACCGACGACGCAGCAGCAACAACTGGTTGAGGTGTTGTTGCCAGAGACGAAGAGATTGCTGCTCTTGTACATGCCGTAACTCACGGTTCGCCCTCTCCGCTCGTTCGGCCGACTCTACTTGTGACTGGTGCAGCACGCCGGTAAGCTGTTGAATGCGTTGTTCCGCGAGGAGAAGTTTCTCCGCCTGCTGGCGTGCGTACTCCTTCTGAGCGGCCTCAAGTTTGGCGTCTGTCAGATTGCCACAGCGTGTATCTCCTTTGTGACACCACTTGCCGCAGAGCACGTCAGCCCTCCGGCAAGAGCAGTTGTTCGAGATGCACGCCGTCTGACTCTTGCAGCCGCAAGATACACGTTCTCGAGCGAGCGCCCGCATCGTAGCTTGTGAAGGACCAGGAATGGGACCTTGATGAGAAGGCCGGCCGAGCGGCCGAGCGGCTTCAACGTTGTTGCGATCGGTCAGTTCGTTCCTGGTGCTGCCACGCGCCGTGCTAGACGCCTTCGCGTTCGGTCGATTGCGGCGTGAGGTCCTTCAGCAGCGCTTCAATGTGCTCTTTGTTGGACTCCATCGTGATGGCGATGATGGCGGTGATGGCGGGTAACAACGTTGTGCAGCTTGTTGTGGAAAGGGCTACCTAGTTGTAGAGTCACGTGTGCATTGCCGGTACGCACCTTTGGGGGTGCGGAGAAGTAAACTGCCCGCGGGACGGGGGTTCAAATGGTTCGAACGGTTCCTCTCGAGTTTCAAGTTTCAACAAGTCAACAAACGGCAATGGAACCGCTCGATTCCTACATACAACTCCGTACGGAGAGACATGATCCCAAATCAAGACTACGTGGGGAGGCATGAGCCACAGAGCGAGGCCATCGCCAAGAAATCTTGCATATGCCGTCATCTCCGCAGTTCTGCCAATCTCTGACAAGCTCGCTCATAGGTATCTTCTTCGGCCTCTTCGTCTGACTTACATTACATATTGACAGGTCTCCCGCCATTTGGCCAGTAGTGGCCACAATCCGGCCTCGGACTCTCGGTCTAACAAAACTTCCCGCGCAGCGCGCAAATGCCTCTTCCTGTGTGAAAAGTTTTCGCGCAGCCGGCGCATGGAAAAAACTGACACGTCCTCTCATCACATCGCAAAACAACACAGCATGGCAAATGCGACTCCCGACAATACATAGAAGGCTTGGTGCGTTGCGACAGCCCGGTCTATGGAACGGTACAAAAATGGAAAATGATCACAGCGATGACGAGTTTTGCGGGAACGGAGAGAGTGTGAGACTAGAGAGAGAGAGACTAGGCAAAAGCAACTGCATGAGACATTGGGTAGCGTAGCAGGGATAAGCGTGGAACTCTAGAACCATGAACCTGGTTCCCGCGTTTTTCGCTGTGCTCCTGCATCATCATCCCAAGACGAGAGTTCTGAGCCGACCTATGGAACAACATCATGCATGAGTGCTCCGCGTCTAGGCTTTATAAAAGATGTAGATTGTCGAAGTGACCCATATCAGCATGAAAAGGGTCCATGAACACGGGCCCTAGGTTCAGCTCGCGAAAGACATGGTGGCGTCGGGAGGGAGGTTAGTCCTCATTTCACGGCAGGTTCTCAAGAGTCAAGACAGATGTTGAATCTTTCGTCTGCGCTGCCTCTGGGCCCCGAATTCTCTAGATCCCTGCTCTAGCGCTGTGTCTGTGTCCCCTCGATTCTGGAATGGCATCATCAAAGCAACACTGGATTGCTGACCATCTCGATGCGCAGCCTCCGTTATTAGCGCATGGAAATATATACACCATGTCGCCACGGCCTTTTCTTTCAACTCTCTCCGTTCCTAGGTATTCGTAATAAAAGAGAGAGAAACTAGATAGATATGTCATTCCTCGTGCAAACACTGTACATACTACCAAAGTTTTTCAGCCCTGCCCATCCCCGCATTCACTGAACAAGACATCACGCTCTTACAAGTGACCTCTCGTCGCGTGGCTTTGTTTGGGTTTTGCTCGTCAGAACAACGACTCACAAACGCCTGCCACACTGAATCAGCCCAGCCCAGCGGCGCATATTTAGCCATGTGCAGGCGTAGCACCAAGGTTTTTATGAATTTCATGCATACAATCACACGTTATTACACTGGCGATCGGTTGGACGATGCAGAGAAGATGTACTTACCTATCTATTTGATCTTATGTACGGAGGTAGTTAGTTCCCGAGCTGGACAGCGAAGGGCCTTGATCGATCGATTCATTCTCATGCTGTTTGTCTGACTGGCTTCGCTCTCATCAAGCCATTCATTGTGCATTTCCACGTGGGAGGCCTTGCATGACGTTTCTTGGCGCAGCTGCCTCTCTACGCGCCTCCTTGTTTCACATCCCATGTGCTTCTTAGTTACTCTCTACCACCTCTCTATTTTACATGACTCAGCGAAGATGGTTGACCCCAATACAGTCCGTCTATCCATCCATCCATCTATACATTCTTTCCCTCCCCCCCAACAACGATGACAACCCAATTTGCGGAGCAAATGTCCCGATTTGTGCGATCCGCTGCATCTCCAAACCCCCTTAAATAAGACGCTGACGCTCCCTCAACCGTGTGCTCGCCCTTTGCTTTTGCCCAGGTTGCAGGCAGCAGGTGGCAGCATGATCGTTTCTCAAACAACCTCTTCGCAAAAAAAAAAAAGTAGTGTACATCGTATTGTGGTGTACACGTTCATGGTAAGACAAAACGCCAACAAGTGCCTTCTACATACGCGGGAACCCCGTTCTTGGCCATTCTCATCGCCCACCTGTGCTTGCTAAATCGACCATTACAATAAACCCCAGCCATTAACTCGTTCGCCTACGCAGCATGTCTCACGCCCCCCGTCACAATGCCTTCTATTGCCAGATAGACCGCCGCCGTTTGAGTGTAGACTTTCGATTGGGGCTTCAAAGAAATTGCTGCCGCCCTCGTTCTCTGTGGTATAGTTGAACAAAAAGAGAAATGTAGTGATACATATATACAAGTGTGTTGTGCGTGTGGATGATTGGAACTGCGACAATGTCTCACGAGATACACGTATTACAATACTGACGCCATCACGGAGTGGTCGCTCTGAGCATGGATGCATGCCTCGTACCTGATGGACCGGCGCGAATTCTGATCCGCTGCTTGCCCAACGGTCTCGACCTGATGAAAGTTGGTGGAATCTTGCGCTGCATCTACTTTCTCCCACCGGATTCCTTGTCCAGAAAACAACTGGACAATCCGCCAAGGTACGTTGTGCTCCATGAATAGGAAAATGTTATCCTCTTCGACCCATGGCTGCGGACGCGCCAGCCGCCGCTAGATCTTGTTTTCCACTGACTACTCGACCGGCTGCCCGAGGTAAACTGCTGATACTGCTGATGGATCCGCCGCCACTCGTTCGCCTGCTGATACTGGCAGCCGTCGCACCAGTAGCTCCAGAAGCTCTTCGTGAAGGACCAGAGACTGGCTTGTGGGGACTGATGCCGGTTCGCATCGTGGTGACGACGCTTTTGATGGTGGCATTTGGCGGTTCCGGGAGCGGACGTGGGGCTGAAGATGAAGTGACGCGCTTTGATGGGGAAGAATCTCTCGCTGACAATCGAGGTATGGCTATCGGCGTCTTCTGACCCGTGATGAACTCATGGCGAACAGCATCTTCGGGCCGAAGGCGTCTTTCCGGGTCCCAGCGCAGACAACGAGCGATAAAGTCGACGAACACTTCGTCGTCACACTTCAAAACCTGCTGCAGTGTCTTGGACGAAGGCCGACGTCTACGCCCCTTGGAAGAGACACTCAACCTAGGCTTACCCATCGAGTCAAAGAAGAGCTTCTTTCTCGTGCTCTTCTCAATCAAATGCTTCTCTGGAGGACCAAATACTTCCATGATGCAGGCCAGTTGCTCCTGCTCATTTTCACCGGGGAAAATAGGCACCCCGGTGTATAGTTCTGCCAGTATGCAACCGACACTCCACATGTCGATAGGCATCCCGTACGTCATGCCCAAGATAACTTCAGGCGATCGATAGAATCGTGACTGGATGTATGTGTACACCTTTTCGTGTTCGAAACAGCTGGACCCAAAGTCGATGACCTTGATCTCTGATTGAAGTGGGTGCCCCAGCAAAATGTTTTCGGGTTTTAAATCACAGTGAATGACCTTGCGCTGCTTCAAAAGAACCAGAGAGGACAG